GGAGTGTTATAACTACTACGAGGAGGGTAATCTCGACGTTTTCAGTAACAGAGGATCCGGTTTGAAGGGGCCGATGAGCAATTTGCAAGTGTATTCGCACAACAATGGAGAATATCCGGCGTGGTATCTCGAATACATCGAAATCGCCTTCGTTGCGCCTGGCCAAACCACCAGCATTCAACTGCACTTACCGTTCAATCAGTGGCTTTCCTTGACTTAGTATCCGTACAGTCTCGGAGCCGTCGTCAACATATAATAGATAAAGGGCTAGTTTGGCCTTCGAAATCTGTGCAAGGCCTCTTATTCGATGCCAAAATAAGGGCATCTTGATGTAGAAATAATAATAATAATAATAAGAGAAATAGCAAAAAATAGGTCAATATAAAAAGTTTAAGAAAGTATATAGATCAATTTTTAGTCATAGAAATTAATAAGTCATAATTTGTTAAGTTATGGTTCATAACCAGATAAGTTATGGATAAACTTGTCAAGTTATGGTTCATAGTCAGACAAGTTATATGGACAATTATGGACAATAACTTATCAAGTTATGGTTCATAACCAGACAAGTTATGGACGAAAACAGTAATTTGACCTATTTATTAACTTATGTAAACTATTGGCCTATTAATTTTAATTCATCTCAAGTCTTGGTTTATTTCTCTCTTTCTCCCTAATAATAATGGTGGACTTTGTTGTGTGCCAAAATAAGATGCGCAGACGCTATGTCAATGCCTATATCTTTCTCTGTCCTCTTATGGTCTCATTTATTTCACCGATTTGAGTTTAAAATTTGAGTTTTGTTACAGTATCAAGCTCTTAGAAACAATCACATATATTTTTTTTATTACAGTAAAAAGCTCTCACATAAAGTCACATCTCAACTCGAATTAAAAACTCATATCAGCGAACTAAACGGGCTCTAAAAGTAATTATAGAGAAATCTTGACAAATACTCTTTAAAAAGAGCATGAGTCTTGACTTTTACTACTTACTCTTGATTAAGACTAACACTCTTTTTAATAAAAAAAAATATATTAATAAAAGAGTATTAATCAAGAGTAAAAAAAAAAATTTAAAGTACTTTTTAGTTTCTTAAAATATTTTTAATATATTTGTAAAAATAATTTTTTTATAAAATTAAATAAAGGATATAAATGACATTATAAATTTCAAAAAGGTCTCAGATTTTTTAAAATATCAATGTACTCGTATAAAATTACTAAAACACAGGATACTAAACACATTTTCCTAATTTATTAATTAATACATACGTTTTTATATTAGCTTAAATTATATATTTTCACAGGTCCTCTTTGCTGACCCACAAAATTCGAAGAAAATGGTTTCAAATACTTTATAGTTAACCCGTATAAATATTATTTCAAATATTAATTTCAAGTCTTTTTCACAAAGTCTCGAGAAATATCAGAGATATATCCAAAAATATCGAAGGTATCCAAAAATCAACTTTTACATGTATTTTAATTCTTTTTCTATGTTATTAACAATATTTTATAAGATTAGTGAGTGAATTTTTCTCGTACTTCTCTGCACTTTTTAGAAAGAATCTCATAGCTATATTAAATATTCTGTTTGTTTTGCTAATTTAAATTGAAAATTTAAATTAAAAAATAAATTCATGTGAGAGAAAACACTATAATAAAAAATTTAAATTTAAATTTTTATAAAAAAAACACTATAATAAAAATTTAAATTGTGATTCGAATAAACTATAAATAACATTTATAGCACCACTATAATTGAATCAAGATAGAATCTCAACCATCTTTGAACAGCGTAGAACATCCTTTTGGTTTGGAGATTTCTACTTAAATATGTATAAAGTTTCTTTGAAAAAAAATCAAAAAGTACCCCCTAAATTTCAGCTAAATCCAACATTTATCTCTGTGTTTTTTATAATTGAAAACGTATCCCAACATTATCCCCTACATTATCCCAACATTATCCCCTACATCTTTTCAACATATGTAAAATCTAACACTTTAAGTGATCAAATTGTTAAAAATGACATAAATACCCATAATGATCAACAAAATAAATTTAATTATTTTTGAAAAAAAAATTCTAAAACTTAACAGGTCAAACTGATCTAACTCCATATAGAATCTGGCGCCCTTGCCTTTAACACATAATCGTTGGATTTGGGCTTGTCAAATAGGTTCCATCCTACACTGATATTAAAAGATTTTACACAATTAGCTCTTTTTTTCTTGATATTAAAAGATTTTACACAATTAATGGCTAAAATAATATTTAAATGGTAATTATTGAGGTTATTTTTGGTATTTCAAAAACTTTAACCAGTTAAAGGGTTATTTTTTTATTCTTTTGAAAAACATATGGGATAATTTGGAATAGTCTAAAAATATAGTGGATACTTTTTGAATTATCAAAAACCTAATGTTGGATTTAGTTAAAACTTAGAGGGTATTTTTTAGATTTTCTTAGTTTCTCCTCTAAAACTAATTTGTTTCTGTATTTTTCCAATATTTATCCTATCAAAAAATATCATTAAAAAATAGTGTTTTAAGCAGATTTACACATTTTCTGTATTTTTTTTATATTTCTACCGATATTAAAATTTTGGACAATTTTTAAAAATTCTCTTGAAATGAAGCCCTATTTATTTCTACCCCCTTAACATTAGCCCATATATTTATACTTTTTATATCAGAATTAGTCAAGTGATAGAGTTTTTTAAAAATAATACTTTTAATAAGTTAGATATTTAAAAAGATAAAATCTGTAATTTTCTCTCAAATTTTTTCCCATAAAACTAGAGCACCCATTATTTTCACAACTCACATTCGAGTAGAGATGCAAGAACGGGCCGGCCTAGCTTGGCCAGGCCCATTCTCCTTAGGTTCACGCGGGCCGTGGGCCGGGCCAACGCAGCTCACTAATTTTGTGGGTCGGGCCGGTCTGGCCTGTATAAGAATTACCTCGGCCCAGCCCACACTACGGGCCAATTTTACGTGTGCCAGGTTAGGCCGTACCGTGGGCCAGGATGGGCCGTGCCATGGGCCTTGAATGAGCTAGCCCATTCAAAGCGCATCTTAGCTCATCATGGGTTTAGATAGGTCAGCCCATCTAAGCATGTAATTTTTAATTTTTTAATTTTTTAATTTTTAAATAAGTTAACAAATATAAAAGTTTGAATAGTCAATGGAAATATGAAAAGGGATATTTTATTTACGATTGTCTCATTAAATAAAAACATTTCTAAGGAAAACCGAGTGCGACAAAACCTTAGTAAGAAAAAAAAATACAATCAGGATAATTATACATAAGATGTTTGCAAAATTACTAAAAAAAATATGAATATATAATAGGCCGGCCTATTATGGGCCTAGACAGGTTGGGCTGGGCCGGCCCATCATGGGCGTAAACAGGCCGGTCCAACTCGGCCTAACCCATGATTTTTCATGGATCATGTCGGGTTGGTTCATGGACCGATATATGTTAACCCAGCCTAAGCCACCAATATTTATAGGTTTTAGGCCATGCCTTGAACAGTAACGGACCGTGCCGGCCCGATCTGTCACTGTATCAGGATGGGCATGGGGTGTCTACATTCCGGGAGCTCTTTTGTATAAAACGGCCATTTTCTTTCAAGGTTAGAAAAGCGACGTAAAAAAAAAAAAAAGAAATCACGAAAATTGGACTTATTACTACAATTTCTCTCGAATTTGGTCTTCGTTTTACTGCAAAGTCTCTCGAATAATCAAATTTATTTGGATTTTCTTAGTTTTTTTTAATTATTATTTTAGAAATCACTATTATGGTTTTTGATAAGAAGAAAAGAATATAGTGGTGGCAAGCATAATCCAACGGTAATACTACACCTTAAGGTGAAGAGTTTAAATCTCCTCGCCAAAAAAAACAAAAAAGAAAAAGAATAAACAAAACAAAAATGCAAAGGGGAAAAGACAATTTACTAATTTTGCAGCCAATACGTAATTAATCCATCTCCAGAAGTATATACTGTACAAGTATGAAAGAACTTAAACGCTGAACAACATATAAAAACAAGATTGTTTTGCCAAATCCTTTCACGAAATCATGAGGATTACTCAAAACTTCTATTATAAAATTCTCCCTCATATATATATCGATATATACAAAAAAAGAAAATTTTTAGCGACAAAACATGACAAGTACTTTAGCCGTATAGCACAAAAACAAGAAACCTTGGACCAAAAACTGTACATATGTCAAACCTTCTATATGTACCAAGTAAGATCTAAAAACCAGTAACACCCTTAATGGTAAGTATATGTTATGCTTCAGAAACACACCATGTACCTCACTATATGTGAGACTTGCTCCCTTGGCTTAGTAGAAAGTTTTTCAAATCCCGGTACCCTTGGAGCTCTTCTAACGCATCAGCTGTTGTTTTCGATGTGACAAGTCCCGAGGCCATCACACTTGAAGAAGCAACATGCTGAACCGGGACTAGTCCCTCGGAAATCTGATTGGAATCTAGAACAGTGTTGCTATCACCCCAGGTCTCGACCCTTGGCACCCCAGATGAATTCGCAACCGACTTGGAGAAATCTTGCCGGAGTGGCGGCGCTTTTCTCAACATCAAAACAAGTGCACCAACAGCGGCGTCCGCGGATTTCCTTGTTGCGTATGAGCCTCCCCCAGGCTCAAGTGGATCACATAAAGGTACATTTTGCTCAAAGGATTCGGGCCTGGGGAGTAGCAAAATGATCAGTTTCAGACTAGTAAAAAGAACTAGGAGAGTTTGAAAGCAGCAAATCACGTAAAAATTAGACAACCAAACAGCTCAATCCTGTTTGCGAATATAAGTACAGCGATTCAGATGATGATTTAGAGCGGTGGAGACCTCATTTTATCAAATTCAGAAAAGTTCACCCCAGAAAGTATTAAATACATATGCCCCATTTGTCTCCAATTTATCAAAAATGAAGAACGTCAACAATTACATTACTATGCCTTGAGACCATCAAACCTCACCAATGCGCTGCATTATCTAATGGCCAAATAACAATGATCAATCTCGCCATCTTCATAAAAGAAAAGTGACCAAAATGACAAATATGGTTCGCCTCTTTTTGACAAGAAAATTGACATTCACAAAACAAAAGACAGATTCGACAAAACAAACCAGAAAAGCTAAAATTGGATTAAGTTTCTTCTAACATATAGCTTATCTAAAGTAGAATTATCTTGTCATCGGTCGCCATTATCGCCTTCCAAGATAACTCTACTTTGCTTTAATGATAGTAAACAACCCATACTTTTCATTTAAAATAGCACCTGAAGCAGACAATCTTTAACCGTGATCTTCACCAGGATTGAAAATATTGAAATAGTTGCACGCTAATCTGGATCGAAAAACTTGCTATGGCATATCATATGCTAAAAGAGTAATCATACTCCATGCCAACTTTTTACATTCTGAATTAGCCAGAGAAATACCAAACTAGGCTCGTAGTTGATCCTCCATGTGAGTCAAGATGAAAGTAAAATATTGATAATAACAGAAGCAAATGTCCAGTTTATTACTTTTTTTTTATGGTAAAGTCCAGCTTATTACTTTGAATATGCTTACCTGCTACCAGGATCTGTAATATCTTCCACTTCCACATCAAATGCACAAGCAAAGTCAGACTCATCAAAGTCATCAGGAAAAGACCGGCTGGAGCTTCTTGAAAACGATACTCGTGGTGAGTTGTTGGATGATAGCTTCAGCCCAGAACATTGTCTCAACTACAGAAGAGGGAAAAATTACATACGGGATGAGGAAAAAAAAAATATATATATATATATATATATATATATATTTGAAACAGAAGTTTTAATCAGCATGATCACATAGAAATACCTTCTCATTTGGAGTGCCAGAGTGAGTCACCCCCGTGCTCTTGTCAGACCTAGAAGTACTAGACTTTGAACTTTTTAGGGGTGGAGATGGAGGCAGGTTTTGCTTGAATGCAGGGGAATTGGCAAGCTTAGCTGTAGGTATGCCAACTGGAGCACTCTCAGATCGTAGAAGGGCATTTGAGAGATGACTTCCAGGAATACGAATTGGCGGTGATGGAGAGGCAGAAGGGGAGGGAGAGGCGGAAAAAGGTGAAGGAAAATACTCGTCAAAATTTGGATCTTTCTTATGCATCGAAGATGTTTCTGGAGGATGAGGAGGCAAGCTTGAAGGTGGGAAACGACGGGAGCTGGGATTAGAATTTGTAGCGTGTGGTTCAGAATGGGTAGGTGAAGGGGAGAAAGAAGTGAATGGTTGTGAAGCTCTATTAAGATCAAAACTCCAACTATGCCGCCTCACGAATGGGGAAAATGATGGAGAACCGTGTGATGCTGACCCTGGCACGGGAACTGACGGGAACCTCTTAAGTGGGTCTGCCAATGGGCTTCCAACGTAATCCGTTATTACTTGCGGAGACAATGGAGTTGATGGTTCAGAGCTTATGTCTGATACTGACGAATGATACAATACAGAAAGGCAAAGCCTACCACAAGAGGTATCCACAGGGGTGAACACAAATTTCTGCATTTCTCTCTCTTCTTGACGAGTGAATGGTTCAACAAAAGAAGATACTCGATGAGTAAGGGTAAACGGGCGAATTTGGCTAGAGGAGTTGAGGTCATGGTAGAGCTTATAGGCAGGAAAGAGCCTAACAGTTACATACAAAGACCTCAAAAGTAATATTGTTTTCTTATACAAAGTACTATTGCTCATCCTCCTGCTGCTCCCATGACATGTATCTCTACTCATTCGACTCTCATACTGCACTATCCATCTCTCTATAATCTTTTCGCTCTTTTCTTCACACCCAAACTCCTCTTGATCAGAATTCACAAACATCGGATAACGCTCCTTCAGTGAAAGATTCCTAACAGAATTCCTTTTCGGGGAAAAACTCACAGGATCAAAATCAACTGGTCTCTGTACCAAAATCACATCAACCACCATTGGATCAAGATTACTCTGGCGCCAGAGATCTATATTATCCAGCGCTGCAGGGCATTCTCTAAGTGCTAAATTGAACCATTTATCCCTCGGCCTCACACTCGATGAGGACGAGGAGGAGGAAGATGGAGATGATACAGCCTGTTCCCCGCTGTAATTACGCGAGGACATATAAGGAGACCTAGATTCCAGTATTATTTGAAGACTTTTGGCAAAAAATTCAGTAATTATTTGTTCCATTTTCGCCGTTTCTGAATGAGCATTACCATGAAAAGATGCCATAGTTTTCGAAACAACTCAATTAGCACATACCCTTTTAAGAGAGATCAAACTGAACCCTCAGAATCCACTCCAAAGCACTTTCACCTCACTACAAAACACCAAATAATAATAATAATAAGTGTTCAAAGTCCAATCAAATAATCTATCCAAACCCAGAAATTATCAAACCATAACCAACTAAGCAAAGCACCCAATAAAGAAAAACAGACCATTTATAAGATACCCAAAAAAATGCCCCCAAAAAAAAAAAAAAAAAAAAAAAAAAAAGAGTAAATCAGTGAAACTCGGATATTGTTTCTACGATCATCAATCTAATCTAAACCCAGAAATTATCAAACAAAAAGCAGCTAAGCAAAGCACCCGACATAGAGAAACAGACCATTTATGAACTGCCCACATGAGAGAGAGAGAGAGAGAGAGAGAGAGAGAGAGAGAGAGAGAGAGAGAGAAACTCAGTCAAACTCAGCTATTGTTTTCTATGCTCAATCTAATCCAAACAGAACAACAGAGAATTACATACATAATATGAATTATGACTGACCAAAACAACGAAGACTCACTGTTCAGTACTTCTTGTTCAGCAAGAAATCGCGTATATGACTAAAAGGGGTTTACTTTCTCACCGCTTTCCTTCCTTTTCTCTCTCAATTTCAGTTACATATTCAGTAAAATTCAACAAATTCAAAAAAAAAAAACCCAGAAAAGTTGGAACAATTGATTGAGCAAAATCAAGCCAAAAATATAATGATAATAATAATAATAATAATAATAATAACAACAACACTCACCAGTGAAAGTGTTATGTATGTCTGACAAGAGAAGAAAAAGCTTTGGCTTTGATGTTGTTGTGAGCTTATCTGCTTCAAAACAATCGAAATATTTTCTCCATGAAAGGCTTTTCTTTCTTCGTGGATGGGGAAGCTCGGTGGGACCAGAGTAGTCAGTCGCAGTAGATTTTCTTGGTTGATCGCTTTTGATATTGCCGAGTCAAGATGATCCTGACCGTCAATCTGATCTCATCTAAAACATCATGTATGTTATCTGGGCCAATTTTCTTTTTAAAGCAATTACAGCAAGTATATATTCCTTTAAACTATAAGTTTGTTTTTAAAATTTGACAAATGTGTTTTGATCTACGTAGAATATTTTTTACAGCCTTTTAATTGTATTTTTTTTTTTAGTTTTTTTGTCTAATAATACAGGAAGAACATATTTTCAAAATTTAAAAAATACATTCATAATTTTTAAAAGAATTAATTGAGAAATTTAAAATTAAGAAATATATTTGTGTCATTAATTATTCTTTTATTTATTTTCATTTATTTAACAAGATCAAATGTGCAACTAAAGATGTTAATTTTACCCGTTAACACATTCATAATAAGAAATCCGCATAGAACAGGGCGGGGAAAGAAAATCTGCTTTAAATGGATCCGGATCATAAAAGGTTAAAACTTTAACCCGTCGGGGGACGAGAATGGGTTTAGAAGTCTTCGACCTTATTGCCCATTTACCCGTTCTATTTAATTATATGTTATTTTTATATTAGATATATTATATATAATATGTTATAATATATAATTTTAAGTATAATATATTACATAGTATATATGAAAATTTAAAATACTGTTCTTTTATTTTTAACTTAATGTTTTGTATGTTTGTATTTTTTAAATTAATTAATTATTTATTTTACAATAAAAATAACTAATCGAGTAATTGGGGCACCACAAATACTATGAACTCTTGACAGGAAGATCCTCCCTGTAACCCGTACATTTATGCGGGTTCATAGGACTGGTATAATGAGTATTTTTGTTCGTGGGGTGGGTTGGTGAAAAGACCATCGGCCCTAAATCCACAGTGTTGTCATCCCTATAAGCAACCCCCAAACTCCAATCCACTCAAACCCTTTCCAATGTCACTAGATCAAGAGATTTTAGGCTTCTTTTATTTATTTTATGTGCTCTATTGAAACTTTATTTTATGCTATATTAGATCATAAAAAATGTAACTTTTAGATATTTTTAATATAAAAAAGCACTGCATATATGTCCATATATAGAAAAAATAAAGTGTATTTTGAATAAATCAAAACGACATTGTTTTGGTTGAAAGTTTTTTTTTTTAAGACCCTTTCTACTTCCTTTTTTATTGTCTTTTATTTTTTTTCTTTTTATCCTAAAATTTACTCATTTCTCATTTTGATCCTTTTAATTATTTAATTTTATTCTTTTTACCTTATAATTTTATTTAATTTTTATTTTACTCATTTCTCATTTTGATCCTTTTAATTATTTATTTTTATTCTTTTTTCCTTAAAATTTTATTTTATTTTCATTTTGGTTCTTTTTGGCTTAAAACTTATTTTATTTTTTCCTTTTTATCCTTTTTTTACCATTATTTTTCTGCTTGCCCTAAATATTTTTTTAAGTTCTTTATTTTTTTTATTTCTTTTATCCTAAAACTTATTTATTTCTTCATTTTAATTCTTTTTTATTTTTGCTTAATTTTTTTTCTTTTTTATTTCTTTTATCCTAAACCTTATTTATTTCTTCGTTTTAGTCATTTTTTAAGTTCAACTAGTTTACTTCAAAAAAAAGCACTGCGTATATTTTGGAAAAGAATATTCCAAAAGAAAATAAGACAACTTCTTAACAAGTTATAATTTTTTAAATAGCTAGCACCAAAACAGTTAAATTTTTAAATATAATGTGTCCTTCATAATGTATATTAAGTATTATTTTAAATAGTAATTAACTAAAAAATAAACGTTAAATTGTTTTTTTTTCTTGTTAAGGAATTGAAAAAACGCTTCTCTTTTCCGATATCATTTTGTAGGGCTTACGTACTTCAGAAACATAATAAAATACAATTTATTTTTCTTTTACTTTAAAACTGTTAGTTTGGACCAAACCAAACAGGTCAGTTGGCTGGCCCACACTGTAGTCTTGAGCCTAAAATGTAATTTGGTCATGCTCTTTTAAATTTTTTAACTTTCCTCTTATAAAAGCTGATTGGGTTGAGTCAACCCAAGTTAGCCATTCAGATTTCTAGATCAGACAGCCGAACTTGCACCTCTATTCTACTCTAAACATTCTTCTTAAAAAATACAACCAAATACAATTTCATAAATGATTCCAAGTATAAATACCTGAAAACTCTCATTTTCGTTTCTATATTCAAAACAAAATCATTCTAGTGCATATCTGTTTGCTAAAGGAACAGTCAGCAATATTAATTGGTGGGAGTAACCTTTTCTAGCATTTGTGTGCACTACTTTCTAAAAGTTCACTGCAATGTATACTAGTTGGACTGAAAATACTATACTTTTAAAATAAAATAATAATATTAAGAACACCAACTCTGATATTAATTCTGTTATACTAACTGACGTGGTATATGTGATTTGTCATTTTTTCACTAGTTGTGTTTTGAGATTGTCATATTAGTTGCTAATAAAAAAGATAAAATGATTCACTGCTACGTGCATAAGTTGTTAAAAAAAAGGGGATGATAGTTAGGGTGTGTTTGGTAGATTGATTTAGAATCATGATTCTGGATCATGATTCAGAATCAGTGTTTATTTACAGTAATTTTGAATCACGATTTTGAATCACGATTCAGAATCAGTGTTTGGTTTGGATGATTCTGAATCATGATTTGAAATCTGATGTGATGTTTTAAACTAGCTCAAATCATGATTCTAAAGCCACCTCACTCTTGATTCAAACTCTTGATTCTGAATCATGGTTTCAAAATCATGATTTGAACCCAAAATCATAAATCATGGTTCTGATTTCAGAATCATGATTAGAATCACCTTGGTTTGAATCCTCATACTAAACGAACTCTTAGTTTCCTTACTTCCTTATAAACACTCTTCAAAAGAAAAACAGACAAAAGAGTGTAACTGCAATAAGCATAGTGTTTTATCTCATTAGAACCTTAAAAGAATAATAATATTGTTGACGGTAAAAATTAGTCAACTCGAAATTTTACCTCTCTAAGAACACTTGCGTATTTACTCTTACGAATTAATCAAGAATAATTGCAGAAAAACAAAGAACACATAAATTTATAGTGGTTTGGCAGAAGCTATTTGTCTACGTCCACTTATGGGTGCACTAATATTTTCATAATTACAATCGCTTAGAGTAGTCAAATAGTGCGTAAAACACAAAATGAAGAATTAGACCTTTATTTATAGGCCTTCCTCAAATATGAGATCCTTATCTCTAATTTCCCAAGGATAATTCTCTTATCCTTAATTCTTGGGATTTGACAATTGTATTTTCATATTTGAATGACCGATTTTGTGGAATTCTCCTTATCGATTATCTAATTTCCAAATTTGAATCCAGACAATCATTGTAGTTTATCTCTTCCTAATTTGGTAGTATTTGATTCAAATCTAGTCCCATACGACGTTGTGACCTTTGAGGGCTTAAAATAGATCTTTCGACCCATACCCTATCTTTAAGAGTTCTCCTCGGCCTGGGGACATTTCATGAACCGCCACTTCTCGACGTTAATGATCAGCCCGTTAACAGAACTCTCGACGCATACAAAATAAAGAGACGGTACGACTATGGTGTAACTAATATGTTCATTTATACCTCTCAATTATTAAATTTTAAGTCGTTCGGAAGCAATTAATCATAGTAAGTTTGACTTTACATTTCAAACTATTACACTTGAATGCATTAGTCTAGGCTATAGTACTTTACTAACAATCTCATGAGTGACTACTGTACATGACTATATATGAACTTTTGCAGTTGTGTCGTCCAAGACGATATTAAGAGCAGTAAACACACCAACTTATTATTAGTATTTCTTTTACATTTTATGTCCTTTTTTTCTCCTTTTTGTTTTCCCCTCTCCTCCATTCTCTAGGTGACGTGTTGTGTTTCATCCTATTAACAAAAAAAAAAAAAAAAAGAATTTTTCCCAATTGATTCATAAGAAAGTATGTACATTTAAATTCATCAACAATATAATAAATCAAAACTAAAAGATTAAAATCTGTTTAATGCTTTTCAACCAAAAAAAAAAAATAACGGCTTTTAAACATAGTTCCCTGGTTACAATGAAGCACAAAAGTAACTTGCTCATAATCAAGCTTTTCTCCGGAAAAAAAAAGGAAGAAAGATGAAAATAGACTAAGACTTGAGATGAATTAAAATTAATAGGTCAATAATTTACATAAGTTAATAAATAGGCTAAATTACTGTTTTTGTCCATAATTTATCTGGTTGTGAACTATAACTTGACAAGTTATTTACGGTTTTGTCCATAACTTGTCTGGTTATAAACCATAACTTGACAAGTTTGTCCATAACTTATCTGGTTATAACCATAACTTTGACAAATTATGGCCCTGGTTATAAACCATAACTTGACAAGTTTGTCTATAACTTATCTGGTTATAACCATAACTTTGACAAATTATGGCTCATTAATTTCTATAACTAAAAGTTGGCCTATATACTTTCTTAAACTTTTCATATTGGCCTATTTTCTACTATTTCTGAAAAAAATGGGGGAGACTAACATATGATCAATAGTAAGGTCTATCCATAAAAGGCCCTAAAACACCATTTAACATAGAAAGCAAAAAAAATTCTTTATTATTATGGGTAGATTTTTTGTTAAATCATGTATTTGTTGTAGTGCCTTCTACAATTATTTTGGATCATGACTCTAGAATCTAGTTTCTACAGTCATGAAAATGTGTTAGAATAGATTTGAAATATTAGAGAGGTGAATTTCGGGTCTTCGATCACCATTGTCAATCCATGTTTTTCAACTTTCTTGGGCCGGATTAAGTTAGATTCATAAGAAGCAAGTAAATGATTAGAAAAAAAATAGTAGAGCGAAGTAATAAAAAA